AGATTCTAGGCATAGTTGTTGGCCTGGATATGTGGCGACTCGATGCAGCGTCACACTAAAACTCGACGCTGACGCCCCTACCCACTAAACCCTAAACCCCTTTCTCTTTTATCCTCTGATTTCCCATGGTACCGCCGTAAGGCATTTCTTCGCGGGGGGAGGAATCAGCTGCCGCTCTTCCTTCTGGTGGCTAAGATGTTATTTCTTCCTTCTAGTTTCTGTCATTCGCTCTTTTTCTTTCAATGGAACGCAGCTCTGTAAGGACTTCTGTGGCAAAAGTGTTTGTAGCGTTCCAAGCAGTTTGACTCGACAACATTGTCTCTACTATTGTCTCTGGTTGGATTCTCCGGTTCAGGATCCTTTCTAACTCATTTCGCTGAGGATCAAAACGTGGACACGCAAACGAAACGTGCTCTGCGTCCTCAATAACTCCTGGACAAGACGGGCACTCCGGAGAATCGTCATGCTTAAAGCGGTGCAGGTATTCTCGAAAGCACCCATGTCCAGACAACATCTGCGTTAGATAATAGTTGACTTCGCCATGATTTCGGTTCAGCCAAACATCGATCTTTGGTATGAGGCGGTATGTCCATCTTCCTTTAGCTGCGGCGTCCCACTCAAGTTGCCATCGCGAGATGCTGTGCTGCCGTTCTTCTGTTCTAAGTTCTTCAGGGCTCAGTGTAGTTGACCTTTTTCGTTGGTAAAGGGCCCGTCTTTCCTCTGCTAGTACTCTAAGCGGCAGGGTTCCAGCAATGACGCACACTGCTTCTTCTGATATTGTGCGGAAGGCACTGGCAACTCTCAGAGCGCTCTGTCTGTAAATTGGACCCGCTTTTCTCCAAGATTCTTGCGTTTCTAATGCGTCAGCCCAAATGGATATACCATATGTGAGCACAGATGTTACTACTGATGACAGCAGTAGTCTTCTGCTCTGCTTTGGTCCACCAACATTGGGCATCAGTCGTGCTAGGCTCGCTCTAACTACTGATGCTTTGGTAGTCACATGTTCGACTTGTTGCTTGAAATTGAGTCGGGCATCAAGCATCACTCCTAGGTACCGAATGTACGGTTGTGATGTGATCTCATGTTCTCCAACTTGTAACTTGATGGTTTCTTTCGCTTTCCTGCTGGTAATGAGCACTGCTTCGGTTTTATGCTTAGCTAGTTGCAAGTTCACCGTATCCATCCATAAGTTAATCCGTTTAAATGTAATGTCGAAGGCCAGATTTATCTCTTCAAGGTGCTTCGCGACAATCACCACAGCAACATCATCTGCATATGCTACCAGTTTCACTTCTTCTGGCAATGCTATTTTCAGGAGACCATCATACATGTTGTTCCATAGCAGAGGACCTAGAACTGAGCCCTGTGGTACACCACCAGTAATATCATACTCCTTAGGACCACTTTTTGTGTCGTATTTGAGGACTTTGTTTGTGAAGTAGCTTGCTACCATTCTACGCAAATACCCTGGGACTCGTTTCTCTTCAAGGGCGCGAATTACACAGTCCCAGTTAGCAGAGTTAAAAGCATTTTTGATGTCTAATGTAGCCACCAAACAATACCTTTAACTGAGTATATTAATATTTCACTTGTCAATAAGATATGAATAATTCGATAGATTATATGCAAGAAATTATCAGCAAATATTATATTCAACAACGCAATCAAAATCGGCATCAAAATCGCTGACCTGAGTGCGCACACTTTAATAATAAATGTTGATTTAGAAATGATTTGTTGTGAAATATAATAAACATTCATCTTCGCAACTTTATAACTCAAAAGCTGTTGATCGGGGGGGATTTACACAGAGGAACTTTTTGTAGCAAATTTTATGCTCTACAAAAGTTAAACATGCGTTTTTTCCAAAAAAATTTTTTTCACGTCGAAAAATCAAGTTGAAACCGGAAAAAAAATTTTTTCTATGTTATTTAAATAGGAAATTGAATTTTTAAATGAGCTAAGCCGCTATTGCACTTAAAGCCTTTTACTCGGCGGCATAATTTTTTATTTTTTATAAAGTATCAGATTTTCAGGTAGCACAGAGAAAAAAAAAATATCGCCTAAAAATGAAGCACCCTAATGGACACACCGTCTCATACCGAAGATCGACGTTTGGCTAAACCGGAGTCATGGCGAGGTCAATTACTATCTGACGCAGATGTCAGGACATGGATGTTTTCGGACGTATCTTCACCGCTTCAAGCATGATGATTCACCGGAGTGCCCGTCCTGCCCAGGAATCAATGAAGACGCGGAGCACGTTTTCTTTGAGTGTCCACGATTTTACCCACAGCGCGATGAGCTGGAGATGATCCTGAAGAAGAAAATCCAACCAGAGACAATAGTAAAAGCAATGCTGTCATCAGAGGCTGCCTGGAACGCCGCAAATACGTTTGCAACAGAAGTCCTTATAGACTTGCGTTCCATCGAAAGAAAAAGAGCAAATGACAACAACTAGAAGAAAGGTAAAATAATACCTTAGTTACCAGAAGGAAGAGTAGTCGCTATATCCTCCCCCCACGAAGTAATGCCTAACGGCGGTTTCCATGAGGGATTAGAGGAAAGAGGAAAGGGGTTTAGGGTTTAGTGGGTAGGGGCGCTAGCGTCGAGTTTTAGTATGACGCTGCGTCGAGTCGCCACATATCCAGGCCAAACAACTACGCCTAGAATCCGTAAAAAGGATTCCCCCCCCTAATGGGGGAAAAAAAAACACACACACACACATACATACAGACACCATCGCGGGGGTAGTCAGGGAAGCTTCCTATGACCTTAAAACGTCGAGATCTTATGAAAACTCGATTTTTGCAAAACGGGGTGAAAACAATAACTTCCCGATTTTTGAAAATCTGAGATTTTTAGCGGGAAGTTAAAAACTATTCTCTAAAATTCGTAACTTTTTGTTTTGTTGAGTAAAAAAATTTATAAATTTCCTTAGACGTTTTTAATGGAGTCAATAATAAACAAAAATTTTTAGCCAATTTTTTCGTTATCAGTAACTGAAGTAACTGATATTTGTTAAACTTTTTTCAAATTTTTCGTAAAAGAAGAAGGTTTATGCATTAAATTGATAGCAAATTTGATTTAAACAAAGAAATTACATGTATAGTAATAAAAACATTAACCCGTTGGGGTTATTATGGGTCTAAATGACCCAAGGAAATTTTTTGAGTTGCTCTTGCTTCGAAAATATCATTCAAAATGGTATTTGTGGTACCATCTATTATTGTTTGAAGATTTTTTGAGATTCATGGAAATTTACGATTTTAATTGCACAAATCAATATACTTTTTGAAAAGCTTGACATGGCACCACTTTTTTTTCAAAGTATGCGATATCCGGAGTGGAACCCCGGAGGTCATTTTCATTTATCTTAGAAAATGAAGTTTTTATGAAATTTTTAGTAAAAAAAGTCAAATTTTTCGAAATACCTTCGTCAGACAAGCCGGGGTAAAACACCCTCATTGCAATCGGGCTAATTTTTTTTCCTGAAATATTTTATACTGTGGACAACATCTCAGCCCAGTTTCAACTCTGAAATACCACGCGTTCTAGAGTAAAAAATAAAAGTTTTTTTTTTTTTAAATCCAATATTCTCCGAATCTACTTGATAATATTAAAAAAAGTGCTTATGGCTTTTAAGAAATCACTCATCAGTATTCCTAGAAAAATTCACTCGATTATCGGGTCAGTTGGTCATCGGTGAAAATGCGATTATATTTTTATAAAATTTTTTTTTATGTCAAAATCGTATGGTATACTTTAGTTTTTTTTGCACTTAGTACTCTAACATTGACCTACAATAGATATTTTTTTAAGATTTTTCAAAATATTAAACGATAGTTAAAAAAAAATAAAATATTCTTAAAACATTTTTTTTGCCTCAAATTCCTTAAGTACAGTCATGTAATTTTTTATACATTATCCCTTCGTCTCAGTTTACAAAAAATATTTTTTTTATACTTTAAAAAATATTAGATGATTGCAAGGATTATTAAACTTTTAATGTTTTCAGCTCGTAAAGTTAAGTCGAAATATATTAGCAAAATTTTTAAAAAGTTACGTCATGAGGACAAATACAATAGTTAAATTTTTTGTGAAATCTACAAAAAAAACTATCTTTAGTCGACGATATAATTTTTTTCTTTTTTCTAGCAAATTTTTTTCAACTCATTCATCAGTATTTATGTATATATATATATATATATATATATATATATATATATATATATATATATA